TGCTAGCTTGCCTACAGTAACCACTAGACTAATATTGAAAAGAAATTTTTAAAACAATATATCTCGTCAGGTGGTTCTGAGCAGCTATGATTACCTACTCAGCATTAGGTGGAAGAAGATTAGAGAAATCTGAAATTAGTTTTAGAATATATTTAGTGAAGTTGAATCCGCTTTGGATATATGAGTCCGCTATGATGATAGATGCGTTTATAGTAGTTGATATTGATGTAGAAAGAGTTTTTTTTTATTTTATATATTATTATTATTATATACAGTAAATAAAAAAAATTAAGTTATATTTTTAAATTAATTGATGACTTGTTATTTTTTTATATTTTATATTTGTTTTTATACATATGTTATATAGTACAAACTTTTACAAATTTTTTATATATATACAATACTACTTTTATATTACTTAATCAAATAGATGTACTATCAATAGTTTATAATACAATCAATAAAATTTTAACTATTATAAAATAATTACAATTATATAAAACTATACTACAAATTTAATTAAAAAAATATGTAATACTTTTTTAATTTTTCATTAAAACATTTTTAGAAAATAATTAGTTTATTAAACTATTATATTTACTTTAATTTGTTTTATAGTTTTTAAAGACTTCAAGTAATTTGAAATTATTTCTTTTATCAAGGTTTTTCAATAATTTGTTTTAGAAAAATTAATATATGCTTTTTTAGCATTTCATTAGTTTAATTATTTTATTTTTGAACTTATTATAATTGTAGTAATTTGCTTTTGTCAAAAAAGAAAAAAATTAAAAATTATTGTTATTCTTTTTGAAAATAATATTATATTTTTTATAGAATTCAATATTATTGATTATTATATTTAACTTATCTTTCTGCCAGGTTTATTTCTAGATGCTATAATTAATCTTTTGGCTTTTGATTTATTAATATTTTTATAATTTGCAAGAATATGTTTTTTTAATATTTTTTTTATTCCTAGAGTTTGTATAACAGTAGTAAAATTGTCAAGAATAATTACTTTTCTTTTTATTTTTTGTATAATGTTTCAATTTCTATAAATTTCAGTTTATAAATTGTATTGAAATATTTTTTCTATGCATTGTAACTAATAAAGTTTTATTAAAAATAATATATTTATATGTTTGGAAAAGTAAAGATTATTTGAATACAGATTATTTTTCTGTTGGTTTGCCTAATTTTCTATCTTTTTAATATATTTTTTTTGAATCATCATTATTATTTTTTTTAAAAGAGTTGACTATCAGTGTAAAGGTAAGAACTTGTTGTTTAAAGTTGCTAAAACATATAAAAGTAACTTTTTTCATATATTTTAAAAAGAGTTTTTGTATTGAAACTAGCTGATTTGCTAATTCCAAATATTTAAAAACTGATTTATAGAAAAAACTTATTTTTACAGATATTGTTATTATATTATTGATTATTATTACAAACAAATTTGACTTTTTGTCAACTTTTTATTTAATAAAATTAAAATTTATTTATTAATTAAATTTATATATTATAGTTAATTTTGTTTATAATAAAAGATTCTTATTGAATTTGAATTGTTGTTATATTTAACAATTTTTTTTATTTTTTTGTCATAATTGTGTTTTTATAATTTATCAATATTTTAACAAATAATGTATTATTATTATTTTTTTTATAATATATGTATGTATTGTATATTAAAAACGATTAAATTTAAATTTGATAAACAATTATTTAATATTTGAATTTTTGTTTAATAAAATAGATCAATTTTTAATAAATAACAAATGTGTAAAATTTATTATTTAAACTTGATAAGGATTTTATAAAAATAATAGGGTTATCTTTATGTTATTCTGTTTATCATGTATAAATTTTATAATAAAATATAGGATTATTTGATATAAACATAAAATTTCAATGAATTTCAAATTTATATAATCAAATGAAAAGGTTTATATGTGAAAAACCATTTTTAATTAATTAGAATAATTTTCATATAATTTTTTATTCATTACTTATACAATATTTAATAACAATATATTATATACATTTCAAATAAAAGAATTCACTAGCGAATGTACAGTATATACAGTATATATATTTTATCAAAATCATATCATCAATCACCACCGTGTATTTGGATTAAAGCAACTGATTTATTTTATTTCGACACGGTATCTTTTTAAATACTGGATTTTCATGAACCAATGAATTAAATTATATGATTTATGCCAAAAATTGCAAGATATTTCTCCGATTGTAAACTGGTTACCAATTAATTTAAGTTTCACATACGATATACAGTGTTATCGTGTTATCAGTATTCCAATGTCAGGACTAATAAAATCTTAACCTCCACCATCATTTCACAGACACTGGATAACCTAACTTCTATTCGTATAATAATTTAACCAAATAAATGAATGAAGAACATACACTACTCTTTCATTACTTATCCTGTGTTATAGGGAACACGATCATAGTACGCGACCTTGGTTCATACCACAATAATTTGCGGCTTTTCGGGGGAATACTTTATCACCTTTTTCGATTGGATGTACGACATATTCCACCGACAAAGGGGATTCTCCGTTTTAACCACTGGCAATGTTTCGTTTCTTGTATATTTCAATAGAGAGAGAACAATAAAAAAGGTTCGATATAATTTACAAGTGGTTTGTCATACAGTAGCAAGGATAATTGATACATCCATCTTTCAAGATATCTGTTCGATCCTTGACAAGGAACGAAATAGTCACGTAGCCCGTAAGCTACGTGAACTCGCGTTATTATTTAAATATCATGGCAATACGAAAGCACGCAACTTGTATTTAAATTCGCATAATGCAAGAATGAATCTATAAATTTAATTTATTGAGATCACCAATTCTAAAAGGCCTGCCTAATAGGAGATACAGGATCTTTCTTTGAATTTTAAATTTATAGTACATATTATATATCAACAATCTAAACATCTAAAAAAGTAAACTATATATACTGTATATTTGTATGTAAAAGGGGATCTACACCCAATACATTATTTACAAGTACAATCTATCGCGTGTAGATCGAAAGAATGAATTTATGGTAAATCAATACTTTTTACCAGAAAAAGCACTCATCCATCTTCTCTAAGATTATTCTATGCTCAGCATAAGATTAAGGTTCCTCCTGGGAGTGTGTGTATTAGATGTAACACCACGAAACTTTCACACGACCTTCTGCAGGATCGGCAATTTGATCGAAGGCGGTAGCTGGGTAATTTAAAAAATTGAGGTCAGCGACTTGTACGCGAGAATCAGATTAAGAGGGATCAACCAAAGAGAGAAGATACTTACGACTCAAATCGATGTCGTTAAATCCGCAACCTACGCATCTATCAACGACAGTAACTACAACCGATTTAGAACCCCTGGTTACCTGAACCTGTCTTCCGCAGTGAGGGTTCAAGTTTGGATTGCCGTTGGGCGATGGGTCAAATTGGGATTGAGGAATGGCGCAAACGAATTGAGTGTTTTGGGATGTTATACCACAAGCACCTAGGCCGACATCGTAGAAGGTAGCGTCACCATTGAAAGTTCCAGCTTGACGAGGGAGAGGGCGCGAATAATAGGAGTCGATGTTGAATGAAAGGCAGAAGACAACGACCAAGAGGAACATGAATAATTGGGAGGTTTTGAATGCCATTTTATACGTGTTTTGTTTTTTTGAAAATGTGGTTTTTTGTGTATGTGTGATTGATATGAAGTTTTTTTATTCTCAGAATAAAACTATTGATATTTTTTTTTTAAAGTAATTTCTTTTCGCAACCAAAAATTAAATTTTCAATCCGCAGGAAAGAAAAGAAAGTTGGAAAGTAAAAAAAATTTGTTGTTTTTATATTTCACGGAAATAAAAAAGTAATTGTTGGTTTTGGATCAAAGCACGCTTTGAACACGAATTGGCAAGAAAGATATGTATATACTGAATCAAACGACGGCAAGCCGAAGTTTAATATTGAATATTGTTGTATGAAGAGAAAAGAGATGAGTGAGTGAGGTTGGTAGAGGGCAGAATCCCATCGTTTTTATAGAAAAAAAAAACAATGGCGGATTGAAATGAAGATGGTACAAGATCTTATGTTCTCGTTCGAGAGTATACCGTACCGTACTGTACAGTACATTACAGAATACAGTATAACACACAGCCTACTATTCATAACCATAATAGAGATTCAGTTTGAAAAAAAATTTCATGCGGTGGTACAACGCAACGTGCATTATGCGTAATATTACAGACGTTTCAAATCAACCCATTAAGGGAGGACAAGAGAAAGAATCCAATCAAACATTTTCTCCTTAAAGTTGGAAAGTTCAACATGCTGCAAGTACATGTACATACGTACGGCATATGAGATATTCTGCCATCCAGAGAGTAGTAGTAATCAAGATTATTTCGCAAATGATAAACCGTGATGTGGCTTCGTAAGGAGAATATACAGTACAGTACAGTACTGTGTAAATGTACACATACTGTTAAGTTCATACGAGGATTTATTGATTGAATATTGTGTAAGGAAACAAATGGAGGTTTCTTTCTTAAAACAGGATCATAAAACTAAAGGGACATTTACGGAAATACTATCAGTGGTGCACGTATGACGCAAAACCGTTGCACGCCTGCGAAACTCCGAAAACATAATCGAAAAAACATAACTACATAAATCTATGCAAAGCACAATGTTCACGTCAGTTACCGAACAGTTAGTTACCTCTCAGAATTCGTTCGTTCAGATCGCATTTCCTAATTAGTAATTTCTTCGTCGCCACCTCCCTTATGCGTTTCAAATCTTGATTTGATTTTGATCAATGATAACGTACGTACTTTTATTCACAACGAGGATCTGCGGTTGAAAATTCATTTTTTTGGTGTTTTCCTTCCGCATTCATGTCCATAATTCACACGTGCGTACTAAAATCAACTACAAACATACTTGGATGCATTGCATGGCTATGGATCAATAAAAAAAAGTTTTACCGAAGGGATGAAACATTATCATGCAACGTAAAGAAGAACAATGATACATGAGCTGAATTGGAATTTTTTTTTTCGGCTTCTAGAATTGTTTGCCTGGGTAGACCGTAGCGAGTAACGATTATAGGGAAAGGCCAAATCTTATAATGTAGTGTGATGTGGTATGACGGATAATTGAGAATTCAAAAACAGAATAGCGTAAAGTTAAAATGTAATTAGGCTTCCAATTGTGATGACCCACTGAAAGCTTCTGATATCGTTACTATCGCGAACGTTCTCACTCCGCACACTTGCACCTTTACATACCTTATTTGGTCGGTTAATATTGCTTGACTTGACCATCTCCTTGCCATATCCGATGTAATTGTGAGAATCATCAATACTCGTGATTATGGTACGCATTCGAACCTCTATAGCAACAAAAAAATTATTATTATTACTTTTTATTCTGTACAATATAACATCTATAAGGATATAAGCAGAAAAAACTTATGTGCATTCGCTTCCCCTGCATAATGGAAGCATGAAGCCATTTGTTTTTCTTTGTACCCTGGATAATCTAAACAAATAATTGGCGGTAGCTACAGAATTTCAATGTCCATAGGAAATTGAATGAGTATACCGGGCTTGAAAAATTTGTTTTCTTTCCATAAATGTTACTGGGGTAACGGCAGCGCCAAAAACGTGCACCAAAATCTATTTGTTTTTGATCCGTCAAAAATTCTGGTCGATGTAACAAACATCATTACTAAAAAGTAGTTTAAAAGTTCACCTGTCATCCATTTAAAATGCAAACAAAGTCAGGGTGCGCCAAGCATTGATCACGAAAGGATTCAATCTTCATATGGCGAAATTGTTTCAATCTTTGTTGGAATTTTTTTTTTCTTGTAACACGAATTGGATGGACTTTCTTCGAAAAAAAATTCCAAGATTGAGAACAATACTTCCATTCACTATTCAATACCCTTCCGTGATAACCGCTCGGTATCTTTTGCAATGGATTTGTATAAAAAAAAAAAAGAAAAGAAAAGAAAAGAAAGAACAAGTGCTAATCGAATCTCCGAGGAATATGTTGCACTTGGAATAGGGTCTTTATTTTGTTTCAGCCATTGTTTTTTTCCTTTTTTTGGTAATCAAATGAGAACCAGTAGTATACGCATTAGTATGCGTATCTAAATGCGTACGTGTGAAGCGACAAAAGATTCTAGAATTATTCCAATTTTCTAATTGTGTACCGTTACGATTTTCGGATTTAGCAGAAACTTCAATAACTGTTCGTTACGCAAATTAATTTTCATACGATGCGTTATCCTCGTGCAATGGCAACGAATTCTTGACTTTCAAACAACACACGAAATGTGGCTTTCGCACAAAAACCTCATTCGTACATTTCGATGACCAATGAATGGAACCGATGATTTACGAAATATTTACTGTCTTTGGTACAATAAACCGTAATTTGTGGACTTCACCGTAGTGATATTTATCAAACCATTATTTGAATAACCGTGGAAATATTAGCCGAGAATTTGAAAATCCAAACAATACATAAACATAGGAATTAAAAATTTGTATTAAATTAATGTGCGCACTAGCTGATTAGTGAATTAAGAAATTCAAGGCCAAATAGGCATAGTACGTTTTCCTTAGGATTCCCGATATGGAATATTTGTGATTGTGTTTTATGTGGCTTCACCCTTAATATATTTTTATGGGCGTAAAGATTCTTTGCTGGATCCCGAGCTTGCCATAGAATCTCCAATCAAGAAAAGTAAATTGAAAAAATTATTTCTTACAAAGTAAATGGACGAGATGTTGAAGAAGTTTACGTGATATTAGCTTTTTTAAAGATTATACCGCGTGTCTGATATCAAAATATTGTTCATATAATGCCAAGTTCAATTGGATCAATCAAATTGAAAAAACCGTATAATTTCATTTGACACAAAAATCATCACTTTAGATAATAAATCTAATCTAGTAATTACTGTAAATACATACATACATACATATTACACAATCGCAATAGCTGTTAATACTTCATAATATGTCGATAATAAATGCTTCTCGTCGTCAGAATTCACTGTGGTTATTCAACCTTCTTATTTACACGTACGTTTTCTAGAAAAGGTTCAAAGTCTTAAAAGTTCTGTTGAGCTACAAATAAACATGGCACAACGTAGTGACACATAGCGGCTAAGAAAAAATTTAGAGATGAAATAAATCTTTATGGATTCGCAAAGTCTTTCATGTTCTGCAGATGTAAATCATGACTGCATATTGGCAAAAAACTTAATTATTCTCGTTCGGATCAAAAAAATTTTGTGCCGTTCCCAAGTCAGTCGCTGCATGCTCTATGCATCCACGTGATCATGCATGTTATGAAGTAATTAGCCAACATGTTATAGAAAGGTTCCTATACGATTTCCGAAAAAGAAAACGTAAACTACGTTATTCGCGTATCGCGACTGACTGATGTCACACAGTAAAAATACATGTTAGGCATTAAGATGGGAAGAAACTGAATAGTGAGATCACTTTATTATTATCATTTTTATTTTATTTTATTATCTATCTATTCTATAAAAAACAATAAGTGCGCGTTCTTACTGTATATCGTGTTGCATTACATTTTTCTTTCTTTTTAATTGCAGGTTTATTCGAAAATTTGGTCAGAGTTGGACGTTAAACTGTTATACAATATCCTGGATGTTTCTTTTATTCTCATTATGTCAGACATTTCTGTTACACTAGTTTCTTTCGTGTTTGTGTTCCCGAGCCCGATCCTTACGATCATAGTGTTTCTAGCATTTTGTCTCAATCGGGTTCTATGAAGCATCGAAGTCCAAGTATTTTCAGAAGCAGAATCATTTGAAAGATTCGAACGAACGGTTTGATCAGGGCTGCGCGATAATAAATCACAATCTTATTTGTATTTGTTTTTACATTGATAATAGTAGATTTGTCAAAATTGGATGCGCATAACTCCATAATTATTATGCATTAAAACTTTTTATTCTCTCAATTCTGGTTTTTGAACGTAAGCTTCCACTCGAAATTGTAAGTTACCCGATCACGTTCCCACTTGAAACGAAAGACTTCCTTAGATGAAACGAATCTGGGACTTATCAGCTGCGATGAAGAATTGGGAAACCCGATATTTGAGATTTTCTTTAAAAGGTCTTATTCGCACCAACAAGGTACAGTATATGCACATGCATTTTTATCTATAACCGTGAAACAAATCTCAAATTCGAAAACCTCCTATTGTAATTTATTTGTTTATCTTTTATTTTTCTATCATATTTTTATTATTTTTCCATTATATTTTTATTATTTTTAATTACTTTAATTATTATTATTATTTTATTTTATTTTATTTACTATTATATTATTGTATCTTATATTATTATTATTATTTTGTCCATTATAATCACAAATCAGAAGAACAAGATAAAATGTTGATTTTTGATCTCCAATCATAAGTTTCATGTCAGATGTTTGAATGATTATTCTTTACGTTAAGGATAAATTTATCTCTCTATGTAAAGTAAATTACAAAAGGGGTTCTATTATTGTGTAAATGATATTATTCATGCGGAATCGGATGTTATGGTATTATCATACTAATGAGTAGCAACTCTCGTTTATTATTTTCTTTACCGACTACATCCAAGTAAAATAATTAAAGAACGATTATTATTACTATTATTATTATTATTATTATTATTATTCATTGACAATCCCTTATACGTGCATTTTACTCAATTCCCATAGCAAACTTCATGATTTCCGACTGAAAAAGATCATCATTCATTAGACGAAAAATGACAAATCGAATCCATGATTGATATGACGGAATACATTTATACAAACCTTAAGAGGTTCAATGCCATTAACGACTTGTAATCCCAGCGATCTGGCAAGAACTATTGGTGCCAACTTTGTTCCAAATAATTTATGCAATTTATCGACGGCTCCAAGCATTAAGATATTGGATAGATATCTTTCAGAAGAATAATTCCTTAGTAATTGTAAACTTCCTGGTTATGATTACGTACTTATTAGCGCATTTTATAAATTTTAAGTAAACGGCATTGACTTATCACGCAATTTACCAATATCCTGTCCAGTAATTACTCCATGATTAATTACTTTTGCTAGACATTGCACATCAGCCAGACC